TGAAACTGCATCATGTGCTGCCAGTCCGCTCTATCTGTCTATTTAGTCAGATGATGGATAAAACCAGAAAGATGCAAGTAGGTAGATGTGCACACGTCTGCGCGCAGGAGATTGCATGCTTCCAGGACCCCAGCTCCAGGATGTATTCTGAGGAGGGCCCGGTTGGACAGACCTCCACCAAAAGCACCACCTCGGCGGGAGCTCCGGGTCTGGCTTAGGCTTAGGCCAGACTCCGCTTTGGGCTCCGATTTCTGAATGTGAAGATCAGGCTGCAGATACTTAGGACGGTAGTCTGTCTGGCCTTCGGGGCTTCCAGGTTTTGGTCGGCAATTCGAGTGAGTGCTAGGAGCTTGAAAGTCTGGGAGGCTGCTTCAGAGGTGGAAGTCTGCACGACCGGGTTCAGGACGCCCACGCACATGCGGAGAAGCCCAAAACCCCAAAACGCCCCAGAGCCACGAACTGTGCGACAGCCAAAAAGCCGCCGACCAGCCGGAGTTCAGGAATCCTACGGTCCTACACAATGTCCAACAAGCCACTTACAAGCGCCCACCCGGACGACAAAGGTAGGCCGAGCGCCTTCGAGACAATCAGGCAGGGCGTGGCTATCTTGAGGTCCTGGGCCAATCCTGCCAGTAGGGCCGACGGGCTTCCACGGGGTTTTAACACTTGTTCAGGATTCCTGGCTTTGGGGATTTGGGAGGGCTCGGGCTTTGGGACTTGGATCAACATCACCTCGCTAGCGGATCCGCTTACCCCGCTAGCGGATCCGTACCAGATGCTTCGCCTGGAATAGCATGCACAGAACCCAACCTCCCGCCTTGCCAAGCGGAATCCAACACACTACCAGTAGGATACAAAGCGCAAATGCTTCAAGACGAAAGCCTCCAAACCCAACCGGACATGCCCTGTGACAGGGTGTCGCCAACAATCCTTCCCTAAACCCTCGGAAGGCTGGTTTAGCGTCTCCTTTGTCCCCCTGTCCCTCGAGATCCACGAAGGCCACCCGAGGCCTCGGAAGCAGAGACTAGGTCTGAGTCGTCGGGCTCAGGCTTCTGGGAAACAAAGACATGGAGTGCTTCGACAGGCTAAGGTGTGCCCTCTTGTGCCGAGAATCACGAGACGTGCTCGACGTTCAGGTATGGAATTGAATACGGATTCAGACTTGGGAGTGTCCTAGACGCACAAGCAGCCCATCCATGAAGCCCTTGTCCGATGTCTCTGCCAACCCGTGAAGAAGCACGCCGTCTACAGCTGCCCTGCTTCTGTGAGGTGTTGCAGGCCTGAAGGTATGGGCTCAATCTTACCCAAAGAAGAAGCACGAAGCTGCTCACACAAAACAAATGCTGCGCAACCCGGATGTTCCGACTGGTCTTAGAACAGCACACCTAGATGCACAGCCAAGGGTGAAAGTAAGAAGAACTAACTCAAGCGGAGCTGGGAAAAGCTGAGCTGAGGACCCTCCTTTTTTGCCGCCCATCTCGTCAACTTCGACTAACCTTTGCCAGGTGGGGTGGGGGAATCAAGCCGGGGGTCATGTCACCTGTTCACAGAATTCCGAGTTCTGCAAAGTCCCACGCTGCATCTGCCGTGTGGTAACATGCTCCATGCTACTAGAATGACCTCTGCGGTTCGACCAGGCCTGGAACACAAGTCCACACCTTTGGTGAAGCTGCGAGCCTGGCAACGCCCAGATTTGCACGGAATGGGTCCCGTGGCTGGGCTCGGCTGGCCGAGCCATATCGCTCGCTGTGATCTCTCAAGTTCAAGAGCTGACCGCCAAGTCGCGCCTGCGAAGAAACTTCAAAACAGGAGGGACTGCTCAGTAGGCAGTTCATCAAGTAGGACCTTAGCGTTGCAGACATCTAGTTGGCATCCCGTGCATCCCTGAATCCAGCAGTTTCCGAAATAATGCGGTTCCCAGAGAAGTGACAAGACATGAGAACATCGGAACATGTGATCTCCGAAGTGCATGGAGGGACCGGATCTCCAAGAAACCCCCTGCCTCTTTTGGAAGACGACAAAGGTGATTTCAAGAGCATTATTTCAGAATATCCACATTCCGATTACATTGAAGGTTTGAGCACTTCGGGGAACGCTCGCTTCCTGTAATCTCGGAGACGCTCTATTCTGATGTAGCTCAGAGCTGTGAACTTTCCGCAACTTGAGCTTTTGCTACCGCAAATCGGGGCTTGCTTGGGTCATCCTAGGTCACCAGCCACCAGAGCTTCTCACAAAGCCGCTGATCAGAAACTCCTCGAAACCGAGCTCCACAACAGGAAGCTACCCTAAAGCCCAAACCCCAGACCCTTTCCCCCCCCCCCAGTGGAGCCCAAGAGCCCTAGCCGCCCCAGCCGCCCCAACGAGGGACCCGAGACTGGGGCTTCCCCGTCCGAAGCCGGCCGCACACCATGGCCTGAGCAAGGACCGGCGAGGCCCGCAGCGCCGCAGCCGAGATCGATTGCATGGTAGAATCCTATAGCATATCGTCATATTATATCATTCATATCATTATCATAGCATATTATATTGAGTCATATCATATTGTAACATGCTATATTATGCTACATTATACTACATCATACTATAGTCCTAAAGTATATCATGTTACAGTAAGATATATGTAGTACATTATATGGGCGGCGGAAGACAGATGAAGTTGTCGCAAACTTGGTGACTTAGCTGTTGGCCACGTTGACGTGCTTCGTCTCGCTCTTGAGAATGTCATTGGCCTGGCTCCAGCCCAGTGACTCTTTCCGCTGCCAAGGACTCAGCGTTTCGGACTGATATGAGTAGGAAGTTCAGAAACAGCTCCAGTCTGGACTCTTCATATCTCCGACGAATGGATTGAAGTCCGAACCAATAATTTTCCGGGGCCGAATCCAAAACCCAAACACACCAGCCAAAGCCCTTCAGCCAGCAATCCCGCAACCCCTACGACCCGAAGCCCAAGTTCCCAAAAGCCGTCGAAAGCCTCCTCCTGGACGACCAACCTTGGAGGCACGGGGATTTTCGGTGTACGTAGCAAAGGATCGTTGATGTAGCTTGGGTCTTCGCGCGCTTGCGATCGTGATTCGGGGCTCTAGGGCTCTCGGGGTTGGACCTAACGTTTTGGTCACAAGACTTGGGATTAGTGACACCTACACATTCCAGAGTTGGCATCGGGGGTTGGGACACGCTGCTGAGGTTGGTGGAAGTTTTCAGGGGTGCCGTGCATGTTGGAGTCCTCGGTACTAGAAGCCTTTGGGGGGCTGAAAATGGCATCGCAGCGTTGAGGCTTTGAGATTGAATGTTCGGATTGCAGTTTCAGGGTCTATCTTACAGTGGCCTTGAGGGGTCTTGCATCCCATAGCCATGCTACGAGCCAGAAGATGGCACAAGCCCTTCGGTCGTTCAGAGGTGGGCTCCCATCTTGCTGCCCAAGAGCCCGGAAGCGCTACACTTCGCTCCGAATTTCGACCATGTCAATGTCAGAAATGGACTCCAGAACTCATCGAGGTTCGCACTGGCTCTCTTTCTGCAGCAACAGCCACTTCAACACAGGACTGCTGACCTCGAGAGCAACAACGAGGAGAAGTGTTAATGACGACGCCGCGGGAGCAGCAGCAGCAGCAGTATAGCGGCGGCAGCAGCAGCATAGCGGCAGCAGCAGCATAGCGGCAGCAGCAGCATAGCGGCAGCAGCAGCATAGCGGCAGCAGCAGTATAGCGGCAGCAGCAGTATAGCGGCAGCAGCAGTAGCGGCAGCAGCAGCAGCAGCAGCATCAGCAGCAATAACGACAGCAGCAACATAAAGAAACCTTTCCCAAGCCAAAGCCAATCCGCAAACTGCCTCGTGGCCACAAAGTGCTATAACATATACGGAATACGATCCTGAAGAGCCTCGACACGGCTCTTGAAATTCATACCGGCCTCCTCGGGGCTTGATGCCTTCATCGAGCCCATAGCTTTCAAAGCCGGTGCAGAGGAGGATCCCAGAATCTCTTTGTGACTTGGGGGCTTTTGCAGGGCTTGCCAAGGGCTTAACCTGACATGTTCCGGATTGTCCATGAGCTGCCGAACAACTGATTTGCGCAAGCATTCGGGGCTTGAAAGGGGTTTCATGGGATATAAGACCAGGAGTACGGTCACATATCTCATAGAGCCCCTAAGCTTCGACGCAAACGGCCATCCATGCATGGCGATAATCTGCAACCCTGCACTGCGAAATCCGCGTCCCTCTTACCCCAGGCAGCTTCAGTCTCGGGCTCCGAGGTGAACGGGCGAAACGCCTCCTCCACCGTTTCTGGCTGAGTGAACATGTAGGTGGCATCTCGACCAGATCGGCCAGATGCTCAAATCTCAATACTGCGGTGGCTCACATGTACAATTGAGCTTGTCATTCCTGGACATGAAACAATCAGCTGCAACCGTGACCGTCAGCGGAGTTCAGGTTCTCAATGAAGGGCTACTCACGGGTGTCTTCGGTCAGTGTCGCTGCTTTTGGTTCCGCTTAGCTGACGGCGCTTGTCGTCAGAAGAGGTGTCTAACGCTCGAACTGATAAACATGGAGAAGAGACTGACAGGCACCGCGGAAGCCAGCTCGCAGCGCAGAACAATCCAGACAATGCTCGGGCTTTGTTCGTCCAGAGCTTCGTGCCATGGCTCCGATCTTGCCGCCTTGACACCAGATCCGTGCTGGGGACACCAGGACCGCCAGGACCCATGACTCTGTGCCTTCATTTCTTTCCTGCTGGCACTGGCCTGAAACCGGTCATCTGGGACCTAAATACTTCCTCAGCTCCGCCACGTTCCTCAACTAGCGCTGCGCTGCAGAGACACCTTCGGTTGCAGCAGCAATACCCGACGACCATGTGGTAGTGCATGCGGCGGATGCCATCCATCTCACAGAAGTCCGCCTGCCGTCTGCCCTGCTAAGTGCCACCAGTGGGTCGCTGGCCAAGATCAAAACGCAGAATGAGTTCATGCCAAGTCGATGCCCACTGGCCAGAACGTCAAAAGAGTTCATTTGCTGCCACCTTGCGGGCTCAAGGAGACAAAAGATTCCTGGATCCTGAACCTTCAATCCTTCAAACCTTCAGCTCTACAGCCCTGACCAAAGCTTCAGGCCCGAGTCCTGGGAAACCAAGGAAACGGCACAAGCCGCTTTTAAAGTTCAAGCACGAAAAGAAGAACCAGGCACACACCCTTCAACACAGCTGCCTATAACTTTTCGGAAACCGGACCCCAAGGCACCCTGAAGCCAAGATCCTGGACCCTACAACCTAGAGCATCCTAAACTCTGACAGATCATGACCTCCGAAGAACTGCTTCAGCAACTCCCGGTTGGCCACGATAGTACCACCCAGGACCCGGTCCTGGCAGGAGAGAATTTTGCTGTGTAGCCTCCTTCACCGTTCACTAGACATAATATGCACGTAGGCACGACTCTACCGTGAAGCTAGACACCATCCGGAAGGCCTCAGCAGATCTTAGCAGTGTGGTCTTATGACTCAGGGCTAATTTTTTGACCCGACGGCCTTTGGGCCGGGTACTGTCCGTGGGCTTTGAGCAGAAACGCGGGGCTCCCCGTTCCCCTCCTCGCCCTTGGGGGAGAGCGGCCTGCAGGGCACTCCGTGGCGACGCGGTGAGGATCGGGGCGAGGAGCGCGAGGACATTACATGCGAGTGCGGCGAGGACATCGCTTGGAAGAGCCGCTGGATCTCCACGACCCGTGCATCCACGTGACGCGCCTGGGCCTTCGCCACAGGCTTCGGCCGGGTGTGAGACTGCGTCAGAACCAGGTATTCCTGGCGGGACATGGGCCGGGTTGCTTCAGCTTCGGCCACCTTCTGCTTCCCAGTGTTCAAGTCCACGATGGCAACTCCAGGAGAAAGTTCCACCGTCTCCAGCACGGGAGGTTGGTACACCAATGTCCGCTGCAACCACTCCTCCGCATCCTCGCCGTACTCGTGCGGCGGCTCAGGAGGACGGTTTTCTCCTGCAGAGGCCACGCTGACGGCCAAAGCCTTTTCAAGCAGCCCCCGACCCCCCCCCGCCTGGCCGAGAGACGGCCGAAACACCTGCGGTCGCGGCCGAGTGCGCGTCTGCGCTAAGTTCCATGGCTTCCATGGCTGCTGCTGCAGCCAAGGCCCTATAAAAAATCAGCTGAGTTCTTGTCTTTCTACCATACTGCTCAAAGAGTTCCCAAACCAGAAGACTTCATGCTGTGATGTATGTCGATGTGCTAAACGAAAAAGTTTTGACGTGACCTACGAGACTTGGAAAGGCTGCATGGTTGACAAGCGAAAGAAGTTCAGAACAACGGCGGCAAACAAGACCCTCAGCATGGGTGGCTTCTCATGAATGACTGCCCGACGATTCGTTCTCATTTCTTCTGCCACACAGTTGCGACACTCCTAATGCCATAACAAGTCACATTTCAAAATCCTCGGGTGGAGCCCTGACTGCAAGCACGTGAGGTTTGCGGCCTGCCTTGCGGCGGCGATGCCTCCGTGCCTGCGCCCTTGCAAAGCTTGGAGAAGATTTCTGGAAGGCTCGGAGCAGTCTCCCTGGGACATCCCAGGGAGGCCCAGCCGGCACAGCCGGCATCAGGCGATTGCATGGTATGTGGGAGCTTCGCGGATTTGCATCGACATGCCAGTCCCGTGACTCACGGCTATCACTGCTGCACTCCTTGGCGTCACGGCTCTCAAGGCTTTGGGCCGTAGAGAAGGGGTAGACGACTGCAGTGGCGGCTGAGCCCAAACCCCATTACCCTAAAGTTTCACAGGAACCTAAAGGCGAAATCCCCGCGAACCTACGAGGTATTTAGAGGGTCGCATCGCTGCTCCTTCCGATGAGCTGGATCTGGAGACGTAGCCTCTGGCCATGGGAGGTTCGCCGGACGCTTCTAGAGCTCACCGTAGCTTTTGGACCTTTTAGGGCCCTAGGGTCCCCGAGGGCCCCCTGGGGCCCGGGCCAGTCGGCTCCCAGGCCCAGGCCCCTCCCGGAGCCCTCGAACGTCTCAAGCGAGGCACAGCGAAGCAAGAACAACAGATGTAGTCAACATGTGGTCAACTCCTCACAGGACGACAGGGCCCTTGACCGGCTTGGGAGCAGCGTCGCTTAGAAGGCGCAGCGGATGGGATGCTTGCGGGGCTCATCTCTCAAGCCTCGGAGATGGGCTGGAGACGAGCCGTCTGTCGGAGCCGGTGTCATCCAAGCTGCATCTGGCAGGCAGGAACATCAACCGGAACCTTGTGACATCTAGCCGCGGCCCAAGCTCTAAGCTACGCTAAGCTACTCTTAGCCATGGCCAGAGTTCTGCGAAGTGGAGATCCGGGCCGTGGCCAGGGTTCTCCACTGAGCTACTGCCAGCCGTTGCTTTGGGCCCAAGCAACTCCCAAGCCGGTTCGGAGCCACCAAGAAAGCCATATCACACGAATGAACCTCGCAGCAGGAAGTGCCAAGTCGCGAACATGGGGTCCCTCCGGTTGCCGCATGTCGCAGCGGCAGGTGGTTCACCCGGCAGCTTGTAGAGTTGCAGGGCTCATGAGCGTGGCTGATATCGCCGGGACGCAAAATTCTGTCACAGAGAGTGCATTTCCAAGCTCTTTCGCTCAAATCGCAACGCTCCTGAGCATGTGCGCTGATTTGGTTTGGGGTACAAGCTCCGTGCTGCGTTTTTTGAAGGCCCCTCAAAGAAATGGCGGTGCTTGTCCGTGGGACATGAAGCTGAGAAATCAGAAAACCCATTTCTGCAGAACCAGAACCGACTCGAAGTCACGTAAGATCAGCTCCAAGTCCTCGAGCGTCGGCAGAGCAAGGATCCAGCCGTGAAGCTTCGCAGAGGGTTCCCAATGATGAGCCACGGGCTTCTAAGACAATCGCTGCCTAAACATCAGCTTTCGGCAGGCAGAAGCCCAGTCGCCAAGTTGCCACACACTCCCGTAGCAGACGTCGAGTTCAACGACCGCCGCTGTGTTGCCGTCGATATGAACCGGCACCTCTTTAGAGGTATCTTATGGTCTTATGGGGTCGTGGAGTCAAGCCTCTTCGACGTCCGGTTCGTCGCTCACCGCCAGTTCTGGGTACTACACAAAGAAGCTCACTCCCCCTGACGAAAGGCAGCCTTTGCAGACCGCTAGGATTGAAAAACTTGAGCGCCAAATTCGTCCTGAGATCAATGTGAAGATTGTTGAGACCCTTGCGGCGAGAACTCAAGCCTTGCCTTCCTGAAGTAAGGATGATGAAGCGAATCTGAACAGCCTGGATGGTGGAACTGCCCTCAACTTGGGAGTTTGCATTGATGGCTTGGAATGCTTGGTGGTGTGCTTGTTTATGAAAGCTCAGAAGGGTTCTGGAGCCATCAAGCCACTCTCGGGAACCATCAGAGCGGTCTTCCGAACCATATTCAGAAAAAGCCTCAAAGAAGTGGGGAACCGTTCCAACCGTTGGATCTGTTCTGAAACGCTCTGGAACCTGTACAAAGCTTGCAGGACCAGGTGGGTCCTGAGATTAGTGCGATGGTTCCGCAGGCCACTGCAGTGCGAACAGAAACCCTATGTCAAACAAACCACTGGCTACTCTGATTGATGGCGATTTGTGATCGGAAGCCATAAACCCTTACAAGGGTGCGGCCGATTCGTTTGGCTTGCAAGTGCCGTAGGCCTGGGCCTGCAGAGCATAGTCGGGTGGGATACTTTACTGAGAACCTCTGCGCAGAGAGGAGGAATCACCCAGAAGATGCACATCCACGACGAAAGGAAGAACACCGACGGAAAGGGCACTGCCGCTTAGAAAGACATGTGCGCTGTAGCCTGCAGAGCACTTTCACGGATGGATGCTTTGAGCTGCAAGAATCGCAAACACTGCACCTGTGTGTGGGGGAGCCTTTAACACGGTGGAAACATATCATGCTCGGACCCTGTTCCTTTCTAGGGACTATTGGACCCCTGTTTCTTTGGCAACAGCAGGCCGTCCTTAGAACCCCATTGCAAAGCGCACATCCGACAGCAAGAAGAGCACCGACGGAAAGGGCGCTGCCGCTTGGAAAGACAGTTGCATTTTAGCATGCAGAGCACTTTCTCTGATTCACGGCGCCTGCGTGAGAGGTTGTCATTAAACAGATCATGCTCAGACCCTGGTCCCCATGCCTTGACGTGTTCTTTGGCAACAGCATGCCGCAGCATGCCGCTCTTAGAACCCCAACGCATACAGGAGGAATCACCAAGAACGCGCACAACCACGGCGACAGCAAGAGCACCGACGGAAAGGGCACTGGCGCTTCGAAAGACAATCGCGTCCGGTCACTCGAAGCAAGCACGGCGCACACGAGCTCGACCACCCCGCAAGCCGCCTCGTGAATGCTCACGGGACTGGTCCACGGAGTTCCTCAATTCCAGAATGGATCCTGTCCATGAACCAGGCCCTGCCTGCGTTTGCTGGCACGACCGTAACGAAAGCAGCCTGACTGGGATACCGTCACGTTTAAGGGACGCCCTAAGCCCTAAGCTCCAGCAGAGTTCTACAGCATCCCTGCTGGGCCTTTTCAAGAAACCGTTTAGGGGCTCATGGCCTTTGAGGCTTAGGAGCGGATGCATCGGGCTCACTTGCTCAGGAACTCACTTGAGGGTCTGTGCTTCTTTGGCCGAGGACGGCCGCCCGACACGAAGAAACCGGCTCGCCAGGGTCCTGGGCAGCGTGGCAGGCTTCGGGAAGTTTTGTGGCACCGTTACGCCATGTGCCCTGGGCGGTGAGGTCAGTGCTGGGAGAGCTGCCATGACAGCAGCCTCATCTCATCACAAAAGGTGGAAGTCGAAGCCCTCCCCTAACCCCGGTAAAACCCTAAAGGCCCTAAAGGCCCACCCTAAAAACCCACTCTGCTCGGGCTCGGCAGGGCTCTCTCTGATCGGGCTCGGATCTTTCCTCAGCCACTCCAAAGCTGCCACTCCTGAGCCTGTGGCTGTAGTTTCGAGTCCTCATGCTGAACTGCATCCACTCGTCAGGGTGTACGAAGAATCTGGAGTTGGTCCCAAACAGGCTTGGATATCGATCAGGAGCGGTGAAGGAGGCTTGACGAGGCCAAGATCACCCTCTAAAGCCATCAGAGATCGCTCAAGTTGACTCCCTGCATCGGACAAACCGAGCATGCACCGAAGCTGAGGCCTGAACCTCTCAGACTTTCTGACAGCACTTCAGACTCTCAACGCTCAGGTCGGATGCGCCCGAAGCCTGCGGGGTGTCTGAGAAAGGAAGCACACATCTGTCGAGCCCTGCCCGGCACACGGAGGGGGTCCGCACTTTGACGAGCCGCGCGACGTCTGCAGATGAATCCTGCAAGGGCTCGGCGCGCAGGTTCTGAAATCTTCGCGACTCAGGATCTTGAGTTTGCGGTTGCAGAAACACTCGCGTGCCTTGCATAAGCACGTCAGAGAGCACCGTCTAGCACGGGCTCCACCAAAGATAACCAGAAACACCGACTCATATGACGGTACCGCAACCGCAGGCAAAGGGGCTCGGAGTTCTAGAAGCTCCAAGATCAAATCTTTCGCCCAGGATGACATGCACAAATCTGGGCTGGGAGAGACCTGCCCCTACCCTGGCTCAAGAAAGCTTTCTTCAGACCTGGCTAGGCCCAGGCATGAGCTTGGACTTCTCTGGGCCCCGGGAAAACGCCAAGCTCCCCATCTTCGGAGGCCAGCGTTGCGAAAGTTTGGAGCTCGGGATAAGAGAACCTTCTCTTGAGAACCCGTGGTTGAGGAGGGCCGAAACCGCCCATTTCACATGGAGCCATAAAGCGAAAGCTTCACATGCTCGTGCTTTCTGCTTTCGAGAGCTGCAGAAGACTTGTGTTTCCGCGCAAGGCCTGCGCCCTTCAGTTTTCGACAATGGCTGGCGTCGCGTACCAGGCCTTCCGCCGTTGATATTGGTATTTGCTGCCAATGCTTCGGTGTTCTTTCTGACTCTACCTGCCGAGACAAAACAGCTCGAACACAGTTGGCATGATCGCAAACTCCAGGATTCACCGCGATTCGCATCTGCTGTGCCACCGCACGCAGCTCAAAGTGGTCTCGGAGAGATGGCACCGAACAGTCCGCACACTTCTGACATTCCGTGACACAAGACGA